TTACCCTGAGTGTGAAAGTGCTTTGTAATAGAAACATTTGTATCATTACTCTATGTGACAGTGCCATTTAACAGAAATATTTATATCATTACTGTGTGACAGTGCTTTGTAACAGAAACATTTGTATCATTACCCTGAGTGTGAAAGTGCTTTGTAATAGAAACATTTGTATCATTACTCTATGTGACAGTGCCATTTAACAGAAATATTTATATCATTACTGTGTGACAGTGCCATTTAACAGAAATATTTATATCATTACTGTGTGACAGTGCCATTTTACAGAAATATTTATATCATTACTGTGTGACAGTGCCATTTTACAGAAATATTTATATCATTACTGTGTGACAATGTCATTTAACAGAAATATTTATATCATTACTGTGTAACAGTGCTTTGTAACAGAAACATTTGTATCATTACTCTGTGTGACAGTGCTATTTAACAGAAATATTTATATCATTACTTTTTGAAAGTGCTTTGTAACAGAAATATTTGTATCATTACTGTGTGACAGTGTCATTTAACAGAAATATTTATATCATTACTGTGTGACAATGTCATTTAACAGAAATATTTATATCATTACTGTGTAACAGTGCTTTGTAACAGAAATATTTGTATCATTACTGTGTGACAGTACCATTTAACAGAAATATTTATATCATTACTTTGTGAAAGTGCTTTGTAACAGAAATATTTGTATCATTACTGTGTGACAGTGTCATTTAACAGAAATGTTTATATCATTACTGTGTAACAGTGCTTTGTAACAAACATTTGTATCATCACTATGTTTGATAGGGCTTTGTAACAGAAACATTTTAATTATTACTCTGTGTAACAGTGCTTTGTAACAGAAACATTTATACCATTACTCTGTGTGACAGTGCTTTGTGAGAAACATTTGTATCATTACTGTGTGACAGTGCATTGTAACAAACATTTGTATCATTACTCTGTGTGACAGTGCTTTGTAACAGAAATATTTGTATTGTATTACTGTGTGACAGTGCTTTGTAACAGAAATATTTGTATCATTACTGTGTGACAGTGCTTTGTAACAGAAACATTTGTATCATTACTATGTTTGATAGGGCTTTGTAACAGAAACATTTGAATTATTACTCTGTGTGACTTGCTTTGTAAAAGAAACTTTTGTATCATTATTCTGTGTGACAGTGCTTTGTAACAAACATTTGTATCATTATTCTGTGTAACAGGGATTTATAACAGAAACCTTTGTATCATTTTCTGTGTGTGTGACAGTGATTTCTAGCAGAAACATTTGCATCATTACTCTGTTTAACCCTATCCTATGGGCATTCTTTATTGTACATGACACAAGGTTTTAGTGACTTATATTCAAAACTTAATTAAACTACTTTTCGTTTATGTTATACGAATTAGTATAGCATAAATTCATAGCTAATAATAAATATTTTAAAAGAATATAAGTTTTAAGTTCTTAATTTTTATAAGTCCATTTTAAACAAAATCCTGAATTTCCCCCATTGTGAGAAATGTGACATATTTTCTCTATGCATCCCCTCTTCTCTATTTTATTCACCAACCCTGCAGTAAATATGAAATTTAACGTAAATTACTCACTATGAAATCAGCACTGCTCATACAAGCCATAATTTTTATAGCCTTCAATCTTTTTTAGTTACAGAGCGATCAAGTAGAAAATCAGACAACTCTTGCTACACCCACCTGTCACATCCTCTCTTTCAGGATTTGTTAATAGTTCTCTCTTACTCTTAATACAATATTATGTATGACCAATAGAAAGCCAAGGTTATAATTTATCAAACGATGTATTATGCTGTTTTCTGAACAGAGTATTGTCATTTTCTCTTTTAGTACAAGCTTCATTCCCACAGGAAAAATAATGACTAGCTTGGATGAACTTGTAATGCCTCTTGTTGCCCAGTTAGAAAGCCAGAAAAATTGTGATAGTTATGGGAAATTGTCTGCTTTTTGGATGTTATTATTCTATGTTCTTTGACACATTATTTAATTAAATAAAAATTATTTAGTGCATTACTACCATTAGTATTGAAAAAAAAAATATGGTTAAGTGTCATCGACAGTCAACTGCAATAAAAAAAGAAGGCCCAGATAAGTACTTTATTTCTTGTTTTTCATGTTTATTCTTTAGTTATTATTATAAAAGTAACTAAAATGTAAAAATAGAGATTTCTTTAGGTTAGATAAGGTAAAATAAATAAAAAATTAGTAATCTAATAAAAATGTTTCTTGAGGCAAGCATGTGAGCAGCTCGTGGGTAATGTAATTCGACAATGTAATGTGAACTCTGTGTTCCCAAAGTGATTTACAACTTATATTGGTATGAATAGTAGTAGTTAGACGTGGTTCAAAGGGCAATAAAATTTAAGTATAAATAGATGTATACTGTTACGAGTTTAAAGCTACTTAGAATAAACGAATGTAGTTTCATGTTACAATTTGAAGTCATTCTAGAAAGAAAAAAAAAGTTAATTTAGATTTATATCGATTTTTTTTTTTTTGGTGATTTTCAAGGTTGGTCAATTTGACCAACCTTGTATAGAGATAGAGTAGAGAAAATAACA